TTTCACTATCACTAATAGATATTTAGTGGTGAGTTGAAAAATTACAGCCTCACTAAGCAATAGTGGTAGTGGTACAAGAAAGTTTTTCACTAAAATTAATTTAGTGATAGTGAAAACCCTTTTTTTTACAGCTTAGTGCAAATTTTTTTCTCCACTAACAGGATAGTGGAAAAATATAATGTTACTAATGTTAATGGAACTCAAAAAAAATAAATTTATGAAAAAAAATATTTTGAAAAACAACATAAAAATTGTACGCAAAGTGACAAGAAATTAAAAGGTTTGTCATTCAAATTGCATCCGGGATCAAGGGGCCACATTTGATTTCATATTTTGGTATTATTTTCGTTGTTTTTTAAGGACTTTATCTATCGTATATTTTTGACATTTTCTTTCATTTGTATGTATGTATGTATGTATGTATGTATGTATGTATGTATGTATGTATGTATGTATGTATGTATGTATGTATGTATGTATGTATGTATGTATGTATGTATGTATGTATGTATGTATGTATGTATGTATGTATGTATGTATGTATGTATGTATGTATGTATGTATGTATGTATGTATGTATGTATGTATGTATGTATGTATGTATGTATGTATGTATGTATGTATGTATGTATGTATGTATGTATGTATGTATGTATGTATGTATGTATGTATGTATGTATGTATGTATGTATGTATGTATGTAAGTATGTATGTATGTATGTATGTAAGTATATGACTTTTCTTTAATACAATAAAAAATAATAAAATAGAAATATTTTGAACATACATATGTACATATGTATTTTCAATTTGTTTGGATTATTTTTACAAACACTATTTTTTGAGGTTTTAGTGCATATTAAAGCATTCATGTAGTGACTGTTAAACATTTGCACTATTTTATTGTAGTTCAAAATTTTCACTACCACTAATGGTTAGTGGTAGTGGAAAAATTTTCACTACCACTATTTTTTTTAGTGGTAGTTAAAATATGTTTCACTACCACTAATTTTTTTAATGGTAGTTAAAATATGTTTCACTACCACTATAGTGATAAAAAATAGTGGAAAATCAAAATTTCGTCACTATAGTGGGATTTAGTGGAAACCTTAGTGCACTAAATATTTAATGCAATGCCCCCAACTCTGCAAATTGCAACATGAAATGAGAAAGCTTAGAGATCCTCAGGATAATTTACACAAGAAAAGCAAAGCATGGAATTGGTCATAATCGTGTCAACGCAGTTATGAGCTACTGTCATTTGCTGCTTATTAACATTAGCAGCGATTTATTGTTTGTAGGTTTGGTTAGGTTGATAGGAGGATGTATAGTACATCAAATCCGAAAAAATACACCTAGACCACTATAGGGCCTGTTGTTCACTGAGTATATTATTTTTCAGTGTTCAGAACCTCAGTTTCCTGGAAGTAATTCCTAAGAATTTTCCAATCAGCGTTAGTCAAGAATGTTATTTCCGTAATAACATCACTTCCATAATACTTGGATCTAATTTCGACGAATGCTTGACAGTGCAAAGAAAGTGCTCCAAAGTTTCACTGTCCTCTCCACATGCTATACATTCGTCTGAATCCGCATGGCTAATAGTGTGTAGATGTGCTCGTAATCCTGTGTGTCCACTCAGAATACGTACCATCATACTAGCCTCAGACTTGCTCATTTTGAGAAGATTTCTCATCTTGTTCTCATCAGGGTCACCCCATAGGATCTTTGTGATTCTACCCACCTTTTCATTATTCCAATAGGCCTTATGGGAAAGGGCAGCTGCATCTTATTTTGGCGAGTTAGTGGTACCTTCCTCGCTTTTAGGATTTGACTCCTTAACGTTATCAGTAGTTGGAACTGATGCTGTGGTCTTAGGTTTTTAGTGTCCTTTTCGAGGCTTGTTGTAACAGCCCTTCCAATCGGCACCTTCCCAATTTTGAATATGACAGGTTTACTACTTCATCCTTTTTTGGTCTTGCTGTAATGGTGTTGTTATTATCATCTGAGGATTCGGAATCCTCAGAGCTCACTCCGAATACATCCTTCTCCTTCACCCCTATGTTTTTGCCAATGGCATGCTGTACACTTGACGCATTGTCCGCCACGGAGGCCAAGGTACCCTAGTAGATCAACACTTGCCGCCGGTACTGGGTTATTTAGGGCCTGCACCGTAACTTTTATCTTTTTATTTTTATTATAATATTCCCAGGAGGTGGACAATCTAACCTCCCTCAGCTTAAGTGGCTCTAAAGCTGGGAGAGGACAGATGGTGCATCACCACCCCCTATCCGCCACCCGGGGACGCGCTCGGTAGGAAAAACTGGAAAACTTCCTCGAGTAGATAGATAAAGTTAAAATCTGTATTGTAGATAAAGTTAAAAATCTGTATTTTCTGAATTTGGAGAAATAAAGGTTTTTTTTTTAAATTGACGTTTCACAAGAAAATCGCGAGAAATTCAAATGTTGGATCATATTTTTGTTTCAATATATTTTTAGTTAGTAAATAACAAACCTTTTGTGTTCATTGTACTAAAATTATAACTGTCGTCAGTCATTATATAAATAATTGCAATTTGTTTTGCAAGTGTTAGGGATAATTTTCTTATTTTAAATTATCTTTTGGAGTATGTCCGCAGTTATTATTAATTATAAAAACAACTTGATGAAGGAATAAAATGCATTTTTACAAAATCATTGAAAATATGTAATGAAATACTTTATTGCGCTTGGTGCGTGAACTTTTATAACAGCCACGAACAAATATACCGTGTATTTTTTCATATTTTTAATGCTTTATTCCAATTCTAATTTTTTTCAAAAAATGTCAATAGTTATATCCCTAATGTACACCTTTCCACAAAATTTTATTGGAATTGGCCCTTTTTCCAAAAATCAGATTATGTATATCGGAATTAAACCAAAATTCTACATAAATGCTTTTTAAAAATTAAATTAAATTCTAAATATATGGTGTAGTGTATCATATGCTCGACCATGACCGACTATAATTTTTACTTGTTTATATAATATAAATAATAAAATATAAATAATAAAGCGCCCTTGGCGACACATCAAATTGGCTGTATCAAACAGTAAGTATTTTGTGTTAGTAAAAAATCTCACACCGCATATATACATTAGGGATATAACTATTGACATTCGTCGTATATATGCAAGTTGGCATAGCATAGTCGAATAGCCCATTAAAAAATTTGAGAAACTACGTTATTATTTTTTTGCGGTTGTTAAAAAAGTTCACCCACCAAATGTCTGTCCGTCTGTTTTTTAATTAATTTTTTGAAGGCTCCATAAATCTCGGGAATCCAAATCTTAAATAATTCAATTAGATATGCTTTTAGGAATTTAGCTTATTAAAACCAGTAAAATCGGTCCATAAGAATCGGAGATATGGTCAAATCAAATATGATCAACAAATATATATTATGGACTTTTTCATTTAGGGATGTAAAATCAGAGTTGGGGGTAGTGCATTAAATATTTAGTGCACTAAGGTTTCCACTAAATCCCACTATAGTGACGAAATTTTGATTTTCCTATTTTTTATCACTATAGTGGTAGTGAAACATATTTTAACTACCATTAAAAAAATTAGTGGTAGTGAAACATATTTTAACTACCACTAAAAAAAATAGTGGTAATGAAAATTTTTCCACTACCACTAACCATTAGTGGTAGTGAAAATTTTGCACTACAATAAAATAGTGCAAATGTTTAACAGTCACTACATGAATGCTTTAATATGCACTAAAATCTCAAAAAATAGTGTTTGTAAAAATAATCCAAACAAATTGAAAATACATATGTACATATGTATGTTCAAAATATTTCTATATTATTATTTTTTATTGTATTAAAGAAAAATCACATACATACATACATATTTATGGTTTTTAGAAAATGAATTCGTTCGTAATAAATGAAAGAAAATGTCAAAAATATACGATAGATAAAGTCCTTAAAAAACAACGAAAATAATACCAAAATACGAAATAAAATGTGGCCCCTTGATCCCGGATGCAATTTGAATGACAAACCTTTTAATTTCTTGTCACTTTGCGTACAATTTTTATGTTGTTTTTCAAAATATATTTTTTCATAAATTTATTTTTTTTTAGTTCCATTAACATTAGTGAATGATTATATTTTTCCACTATCCTGTTAGTGGAGAAAAAAAATGTGCACTAAGCTGTAAAAAAAGGGTTTTCACTATCACTAAATTAATTTTAGTGAAAAACTTTCTTGTACCACTACCACTATTGCTTAGTGAGGCTGTAATTTTTCAACTCACCACTAAATATCTATTAGTGATAGTGAAAAATGTTGCACTATCACTAACATTTAGTGGAAACTGCAAATTTAGTGCACTACCCCCAACTCTGTGTAAAATAGTATATTTGTGTAAAAATCAAAAAGTTCAGAGATATAGGCAGTGATGAGTCGCGATATGACAAAAGTATACTTTTCGGTATAAAATGACCGTATATAAATATTGAAATTTTAAAATAATAAAATTAAAAACTTGAAAAAAATTTGGTTTATATTAGAAATTGGGGTTGGTGCGTGATGTTTTTGAATCCAAATGACCTAAAAAAATTATTTTCATTACTTGTACAACATTGGCAATCACGTGGTGGTATGTCAAAAATTTCGCCAAATTAGTTATCTCCCTAATATACATATGAGTTCTTTTCACTAACAAATCAAAAAAATTACAGTTTAAGTGTCGGTTCACACAGAGAAACTTTTTTTGGGAAACTTTTGATTTTGTGTATGGGAGAGGGAGATGGTTGATATTTTGTTCTCTTTTTCTCACACACAAAATTAAAAGTTTCCCTTTGTGAACTAAGAGAAACAATTTGATGTTTGGCCTGAAAAGAATTTGGAAACATTGTAAAACGATCAATGTATATTTTTTTCACTTTTTTCAGTGATATTGTTTTATAGATAAAATCGAATATTATTTATATTTTATTTAGGCGGCTAACCATCTCTATGAAAGTAATGCAACATATCCTATTAAAATCAACCACAGCAATCCTACCATGCTTTCAGTGGAAGCTTTGGAGGTTTTTTACCGTATTAATGCTGCTATCATTAAATATCTTCAAAGTGGAAAGGAAATAACACGATCTACAGGCGATCTTTTCAATAAGATTTTGAAAAATTTATCAAACAGCCCCTTCGCATACAATAAAGCAAAAATTGATGGTAAGTGTTTATGTAAAAATGTATATATAAAAATATAGGAAAGCTTAGACCATTGCCTTTAAGAGCTTTGTGATTACTTAGTGGGATGCGAGTGGGATATATATATATATATATATATATATATATATATATATATATATATATATATATATATATATATATATATATGAGCAAATATCAAGGTTTTTTAATTCCTTTGAAATTGAACTAAATTGTTAATAATTGTAAGAATTAAATGTCAAAAAAAATTTGTAAATGATTATATACACAAGACTTCCATTCTAAAATTTGCAAAATTGTAAAACTCTAGGTCTTCATTTCGAAACGTAATTGGTTTTGGAAGTTTACAAAATTAAAAGAAAAATGTGTGTCACTAACTAATTTTTATACCCTTCACCTTCGTGAGAAGGGTATATATAAGTTTGTCATTCCGTTTGTAATTTCTATAATATAATTTTCCGACCCCATAAAGTATATATATTCTGGATCCTTATAGGTAGCGGAGTTGATTAAGCTATGTTCGTCTGTGTGTTTGTTGAAATCAGTTTTTAGAGGACCCCAGATATCGGCGAGATCCGAATCTTCAATAATTCTGTTAGACATGCTTTCGAGAAGATCGCTATTTAAAATCAACAAAATCGGACCATAAATACTGGAGATATGAGCAAAAATCCGCGACAACCTCTGAAAATTTCATAAAAAAGACATTTTTTTTCATGGTTTGATATAAGCAACAACAACAACACTGCTTATTCATTGAGTTTTTCGTTTCATATGTTTGGATGGCTGTGTGTTTCATTGCCTTGTGTATATTGTTTTTGTTTCTTGGTGCATTCAGTTTCGTATGTTTTGATTTCTGTTGGTTTCTTTGCGTTGTGTATTTTGTTTTTGCTTTTTTGTGTATATTGTTTTTGCTTTTTGGTGTATTCAGTTTCGTATGTTTGGATGTCTGTTGGTTTAATTGCGTTGTGTATTTTGTTTTTTTGTGTATTTCGTTCCGTATGTTTGGATGTCTGTTGGTTTTACTGCCTTGTGTATTTTGTTTTTTTTTTTGTGTTTATTTCGTTTAGCGTTGTTGTTGTTCGTTTTGCTATTGCTATAATAATGATATAAACGGGAAAATGAAATAAATTAAAATTTTATAGAATTGATATTTTTTAAATACAATGTGGTGAAGGGTATATAAGATTCGGCACAGCCGAATATAGCATTCTTACTTGTTTCATCTTCTTTTTGTTGAAAAAATTTATGGTAAGTGTTTATGTAAATAAGTATGTATATATCAGAGTTGGGGGTAGTGCATTAAATATTTAGTGCACTAAGGTTTCCACTAAATCCCACTGTAGTGACGAAATTTTGATTTTCCACTATTTTTTATCACTATAGTGGTAGTGAAACATATTTTAACTACCATTAAAAAAATTAGTGGTAGTGAAACATATTTTAACTGCCACTAAAAAAAATAGTGGTAGTGAAAATTTTTCCACTACCACTAACCATTAGTGGTAGTGAAAATTTTGCACTACAATAAAATAGTGCAAATGTTTAACAGTCACTACATGAATGCTTTAATATGCACTAAAATCTCAAAAAATAGTGTTTGTAAAAATAATCCAAACAAATTGAAAATACATATGTACATATGTATGTTCAAAATATTTCTATTTTATTATTTTTTATTGTATTAAAGAAAAATCATATACATACATACATACATACATACATACATACATACATACATACATACATACATACATACATACATACATACATACATACATACATACATACATACATACATACATACATACATACATACATACATACATACATACATACATACATACATACATACATACATACATACATACATACATACATACATACATACATACATACATACATACATACATATTTATGGTTTTTAGAAAATGAATTCGTTCGTAATAAATGAAAGAAAATGTCAAAAATATACCATAGATAAAGTCCTTAAAAAACAACGAAAATAATACCAAAATACGAAATAAAATGTGGCCCCTTGATACCGGATGCAATTTGAATGACAAACCTTTTAATTTCTTGTCACTTTGCGTACAATTTTTATGTTGTTTTTCAAAATATATTTTTACATAAATTTAGTGAATGATTATATTTTTCCACTATCCTGTTAGTGGAGAAAAAAAATTTGCACTAAGCTGTAAAAAAAGGGTTTTCACTATCACTAAATTAATTTTAGTGAAAAACTTTCTTGTACCACTACCACTATTGCTTAGTGAGGCTGTAATTTTTCAACTCACCACTAAATATCTATTAGTGATAGTGAAAAATTTTGCACTATCACTAACATTTAGTGGAAACTGCAAATTTAGTGCACTACCCCCAACTCTGGTATATATAAATATATAAGAAAGCTTAGACCATTGCCTTTAAGAGCTTTGTGATTACTTTGTGGGGTGCGAGTGGGATATATATATGAGCTAATATCAAGGTTTTTTAATTCCTTTGAAATTAAAGTAAATTGTAAATAACTTTGGTAAGAACTAAATGTCAAAAAAATTTTTACATGATTATATACAGAAGACTTCTAGTCTAAAAAAAATTTAAAATTCTAGGTCTTCAGTTCGAAACGTAATCGGTTTTGGAAGTGTACAAAATTAAAAAAAAAAACGTGTGTCACTAAGTAATTTTTTCATCTTCTCTTTGTTTTTTAGTCCAAAGCTTTAAACTTTTGGACAATATTCGTTATTGTACTAACTACAGACACTTATACAATGCCTTTAGAAGCTTATTCGTGTGACATCGCTTCACCTATTAGAACTTTGCTGTTGAAATTTGTCAACAGTTATAGAGCTGAAAATTTGTGTCTGGCCTACTATCCCATAGTACTAACCTTTTCGGTTCTTTTTCGTTCTACTCATGTACTTTTTTGAGTTTTCTTTAAAATCAAACCTAGAAACATGAAATAAAGCATGTAGAGCCCAGAGTAAGTGAGAATTTATAAAAGGGGGCTTTTTGGTACTTTTTCGTCCTTCGATTGGTACTTTTTGAGTTATCTATAAAAATTAACTTAGAATCATGAAATTAACCCTTTATTTCCTGGCGTTGCCACATGACAACGCATCGATACTACTAACTTTAAATAGGCATTAAAAAATCTGTATTATCAAGTTAGATAATAATTACAGTTTTAAAATCAGTATAGAGTCTACTTACCAGCATGAAAGAAAAAATTTAAATTTATTTCAAGACGTGGTTTAGATAGGCTATTTTTAAAAAAGTAGATTTTTAGTCTTTATTCATGTGTTTCCATATGGCAACGCCAGGCACTACACCGTGTTTTGTTTTTAATATGAAGAAAATTTTTAAATTTGCATATTGAGGAATATTTAAAAATTTTTTAGAAATATCGCACGACATCCAATTAAAATATGTAATTTCATTTGAATGTTGTTGTAAATTTACATATATGTACATAATACATACATACATAATACATACATACATACATACATACATACATACATACATAATACATACATACATACATACATACATACATACATACCATACATACATACATACATACATACATACATACATACATACATACATACATACATACATACATACATACATATTGAGTTATTTTTTTGTATTTAACCATATCAAATATTGAACATTTTCAAGAAAATTTTCTCATATGTAATATCAAAAAAAATTTTGAGCAGACCCTCTCTGATTTTTATGAAATTCGGTACATACATTCTTTTCATACTTACAAAATCTAGAGTTCTCCAAAATTTCCAAATTCGTTACGGTTTTGATTTTATCGATGTTTAAAGTTCATATTTCTAAGAGTTTTTCAAAAAGGATTAAATTTGATATTGTATAAATTCTAACATATTTATAGGTTTTAATCATTTTATACTGCAATTAATGCTATGTGTCGTAGGTTGACAATATGTTATTTGAAATATGGTTTTAAAATAAGGATAATGATATCGAAAAATGTCCTTAAGTCAAGGATATCTTAAAAACGGTATCTCCCATTTTCATTATTCCTTTACCAAAATTAGTTTATAATACCTACAACAACATATAAAAAAATCAGAGCTGGACCATGAAGAGATCCATAGAAAATCTAATTTTAGTAAACTAATTCTTTTTCTTCTTTACAAATTTAAAAAATTTTAATTTTATTTTTTGATAAATCAAATTAAATTTGAAAATTTCTAGTGAAGTATTTATTAAGAACTATTAAAATAGAAAGGAAATTAGAGCCCACAAAGTATACCATTAATAAATTTAAATATCATAGACCTTAAGTAGTCAAATATAATTGAGTACTTTATATATTGACTTATTTTATTGGATTCCATACATATATGGGAAAATTGTTCACAAAGTTGCAAAACTTTAAATGCCTATAAAAACTCGAGCTAACTTTTTTAAACCCTTTGGGGATTTTGGTCTACTAATGGTCTACTTTGATAACCCGTTGGTTTCATTCGGAAAAGATTTTCTTGCTGCACAGTGTAATTTGTAATCATTTTATTTAAACATCCAACAATATTTCTTATCGGGATTATGTTTTCCCTCTAGAAATCAGTTTTTTAATTGTTTCACGTGTTTCTCCACTGCAGTGCGTGAAATAGCCTATTATTTTAAATCAAATGGTATAATTCTTAAAAGTCGAATTTAATAATTAATAATACAAATAGCAGCTTATCTAATTTACTGGGTTTTAATAAAATATTATGCACTACTTTGCTTTTTGGCCAAAAATAAATTTATTGGTGCTATTATTTTGACAGGTCCAAATTGGAGTACATAAACGTTTGGACGTATTTTTTATAAATTATTTTAAATCAAATGCTATAGTTCTTAAAAGTCGAATTTAATAATTAATAATACAAATAGCAGCTTATCTAATTTACTGGTTTTAATAAAATATTATGCACTACTTTGCTTTTTGGCCAAAAATAAATTTATTGATGCTA